CTCTGGAGGCATGCACAGGATAATCTCTGTAAGTTCGAGGCCAGTCTGGTCTACATAGCGAGTTTTAGCTGGAGCAAGGGTTCCACAATAAGACTCTCAGAAACAAACCACTTCTGGGGTACCCGCAAACGAGTGCTTAGCAGACTGAGCATGGTCAGTGAGCTTCCACATTAGCCAGCACCTGTGTCTGCCTTTCGAAAACTCCATAGACAAGAAGTCAGAACATATGAGAAGCAGCATCAAAAACTATTCTGACAGCAAGGTTATAACACACAGCTGACACCAACATGAGGGAACGCCCAGAGAAATGCAAATGAGATTCTGAGCAAAGTGGCATTAATGTTTGCATTTAATTGGTCCATTAAATTTAAAAAGTAGTATTAAAATGCCATTTAAAGGAAGAGTAGCCACATCAGAGACCAACTGTAAGTAATCCAGAAGGAAAAAGTAGTGAGGTCAGACACCAGTGGTAACGACGTGGACCTGCTGCTGCTCCGTATGCTGTCATTGTATCCAGATATGGCCCTAAGCCTCTTAGCTGGTCTCCCCAGTGAGCCTGCTCAGCATCCCAGCGTGCTTGTATTTCCTGTTTAACAGTGGCAGAAAACACAGGCACGATGTGGCTTCCTCTAAAAACTTTTTCTCTCCTTTTTAATTTAGTGATGAAATAAACCCTGTGGTGCTTAGCTAGATGCCCAGTCTCCACTGAGTCATAGTCATTGCTGTGGTTAATGTCACGTGACATGATTTACTCACGGGTTACATGGCCAGAAGAAACTTCCTATGGAAGAACTGGTGATCAGGGTCTGGGCCAGGCATTTCAGGTTCTTGGCCCTTCACTCAAAGAACTGAAAATTAAGGCTCTCTCAGGTTTGCTTTAGAAGCAAGAGGACTTTGTTCTTAGCAAATCATAGGGCAGGTCATAGAGGGACACTGTTAAGACTGATAGTGGGCCACATGAGTGAGGATGCTCAAGGTCCCTAATTACTGTTTGAGGCTCCCTTTCTGAGGTTAAGGAGGAAGAGCCAGTTACTAGGATTGGCAGATTTTAGGTTATATAACCATTTTTCCTTATTGCACAGTCCTTTCCCATGATGCATTTGGATTGAATTTTAATCTTATGCACACCCTATTATATACAAGAATAAGATGATCAGAAGAGGATTCACCCTAAATGCTCCCTAGAGGAAGCAGTTTTGCCTTTCTTTTCTTTTTTTACCCACACCTAAAACCTGTTAGTCAATATCAGTCCATCTATTCTTCATACCCAGATACTCTTGAATACACATCTGAATTTGTCGAGGGATGAGGAAACTTATACTGCTGTTTGGATGAGAGGACATGTGGGCTAGCACCCTGTGGGCTGCCAGGGGAGTCTGAGGTTGCTGGGTGCCTTGTCTGGGAGAAAGTGTGTACGGGTGCAGGATATGTGCAGGTAAAGAAGCTAGGCTCCACGTGCATTGTTACAAAAAGGGGATGTGCGTAGCCTAAAATTAAATGGGGGTCCCATGGCAAATTATTCTTTGCTTGCCTGCCTCAGATGGTTGGACTCTTGACAATTCAGTTGCCTTGCCCCTGTATAGGTGTGGCTTGTCCCTGTGCTCAGCCACAGAGATCAGGAACTTTTCCCCCGGGGCACAAATGGAGCTGACTGGGAAATAAAGACAAGGGAGCCAAAATCAGCCTCAGTATGTGCCCAACTTTAAGGGACTGGGATGGGTAGTTTTCAACACTGGCCCATACACCACACCCATACATATGCGGATAGCACCAGGACCAATCAAATCAGAAACCCTGTGAGAACTGCTGGGTTAAATGAGACAGTGCAGCTGCCCTGGGGAACAAGGTGATGTTCAATGGGTGTGACTCCTGCTCCTCCTAGCTATGGACAGGAGTTAGGATTCATGTCAGAGCTCCAGTGCTAGGTTAGAGCTCGGGCCGGGGTTATTGATCAGTTTAGGCCTAGGATTAGGATTAATTCTGGGGTTATGCAGGGCTGTTGTTGGGCTGTGATGAGAGTGTAAGACCTGGGATTATGTTTATGACTAGGGTTAAAGTGAGTTGTTATTGCCTCCCTTTCTCTGAGTTCTCCCTTCTGAGGTCTTGTAGGGAAGGAATAACATCCAGTCTTATGTTTTCCTTCATTCATTATAGTAGAATTCTTTTACTCGTGAGAAGTGGTTTTTAACTTTTTTTTTTTTTTTTTTTTTTTTTTTTTTTGGTTTTTCGAGACAGGGTTTCTCTGTGGCTTTGGAGCCTGTCCTGGAACTAGCTCTGTAGACCAGGCTGATCTCGAACTTACAGAGATCCGCCTGCCTCTGCCTCCCGAGTGCTGAGATTAAAGGCGTGCCCCACCACCGCCCGGCTTAACTTTTAATATTATACTATTTCATCACTTATTTTCTGACTTCATCTTCAAACATTACTTAATGCTTTTCATCTGCATGGTGAGCTCTGGAGTTTAGAAAGAATCCTCTCTTCTATGTCCTGGAGGTTGAATTTAGCCAAAATGTATTGAGCTAGTCAGAGGCAAAATCTAAGGTATAAAGGAGTCTGCTCAAAATAGAACACAGCTCATCTATGTCAATCAGAACATAGCTCATCCATGTCGATCAGAACACAACTCATCTATGTCAATCAGAACACAGCTCATCCATGTCGATCAGAACACAGCTCATCTATGTCAATCAGAACACAGCTCATCCATGTCGATCAGAACACAGCTCATCCAAGTCAATCAGAACACAGCTCATTCATGTCAATCAGAACACCACTCATCTATGTCAATCAGAACACAGCTCATTCATGTCAATCAGAACACCACTCATCTATGTCAATCAGAACACAGCTCACCCATGTCAATCAGAACACAGCCTGTACATGTCAATCAGAACACAGTTCACCCGTGTCAATCAGAACACAGCTCATCTATGTCCATCAGAACAGAGCTCATCTATGTCAATTATAAGAGGCTTCAGGCCTTCTGAGCACTTATGAGTCATATTTAAAAAAAAATAAATTGCCCTTGTTTTGGCTAAGGGAAGGGAGCTTTTCTATCTCTGTGGGAGTTATTGAAAGGGACAAAAGGAGCCATGGCAGGAGAGTAGCTCACCTCCAGGGCACATTGCCTGCAGGTGTGCTGCCAGACAAGTTACATTTTCTTACTGAAGTTAGTATTTTAGGTGCCCACAAATTACATACAAAAAGGCCAGAAACTTCCTTACAAAATGGAAAAAAAATTAATTATGGTATTTGAAAAATCTTCATTTAAAAGGTAACCTTATCCTAAATAAGTTTTTTCCTTATTCACATATTTTATTTAAAAAATAACTTTTTATTCTTGAGAATTTCATATATCTATAGAATGAAGCTCCACCCTGGATTTCCTTCCTCCAACTCCTCCATCTTCTTTTTAATGTGTCATCCTCCAAACTTTATGTCTTCTTTTTTATAACCCACTAAGTCTAATTAGTCTAATAGTACGCCCTCTTGGGTGTGAAGACCCTGTCACTGATGGCATCACACACTCTGTATGAAAAACGGAGAGAAGCCAGTCTCAAGCTGACTGTGAAACTACCTTCCTGCTGACTGGCTTTCATAATGTCCAAAGATGCTGTACAGGCTGCTGTGCTGGAAAAGTCCTCAGTGATCTTACTCAGGGATGGACCCCTCATGGTGCAATGCCAACCTGCTGGACAGGATGTGCCCACTGGTGCAGTAGTGGCATGACAGTCAGGGCTAGCTCACCATTTCTGCTTAGGCTTGAGGCCTGTTCCTCAGGAGGGAAGCGCAGGCTGGCACTGTATTCCTGAGAAGGTCACTGTCTAGGGTAGAGCCTGCTACTGTTGTTCGCTAAATGGCCATGCTGTGAAATTGCCATGTGAGCATTTATGTTGATCCCCATAGACCTGGGCATTCCTCAGCTTTGGTCAGAGAATTTTCTTTTGCAGTGGGTAGCAGTCAATGCATAGATGTGTTACTGGTCCAAGTGCAGAGAACAAGTTTTAGAGCTCAGCCCTATGTAGGATGTGTTTATCAACTTCTGCCCCAGTAAGGTTTTATGGTTGGGAATGGCATGTCCATGTGCTTTTTCTCTAAAGAGAAAGTGTCCCGGGTGGCACCAGCCTTTCTTCAACACCATAAAGTTTGAAGTTTGAAGCAAGTGAAACACCCAGAGATGGCCTTTGGCAAAACCTCCCTTGGGAGGGAACCCTCTGTAGCCACTCTGAGAATCAGATCTGCAGGTCTTTGGAGCAGGGTTTGGAGTTTTCCAAACCTGCAGGAACCTGCTGCAGGAAGTCTGGGACGGACCAGGAGAGAATGTCAACTGCCGTCTCGGGGAGCAGGATGGGCAGGGAACAGTCTGGCTCTGGAACCCTCTAGGGAAGCTGGAGTGGTGCGTTTGATTCCAAGGCTCTGGTGGGAAATGCTAGAGCAGGAAAAAGGAAGGTCCTGGAAATGGATTTGATGGACGAGCTATTCTTTATCATAAACTTCTTGACAATGATTTGTATGCCTTGATGAGAAAAACCCAAGAGAATCCCTCCAAGAAGACTGATGACTACCCAAATTTTCTTCCTGTGTAAGCTGGCTATGAATTAGGATATTGTGTACATTGGGCATGATAAGACAGAAAAAAAGATCAGTGTGTTGCCCTCATAAGAAACTGCATTATGACCTGCCCCCAATGGTATCACTTCATTTAGTGATACAGAAGAAGAAAATTAACAGCTTTCTACTTAATTCAATAAAGCATGTATTTTAAGATGGTTTAATGACCTGGAGATTGCAGTAACATACAGTTCTCAATTGGGTGGCTAATATTTTTCCAGCCTCGGGTTATTTAAAAGCCCTCTCCAGGGGGTGTCATTTTAGTGCTGATTCAGCGGTGTCTGGGGTCACCTGTGTTTGTTCCTACAGGATGGTTTGGGAACACACGATGGCTGCGACATTTCCAGTTCTTCCTGCAGCACTTGTTCCCGTACTTCCTTTTTCCCCAGGAAAGTGACAATATTGGAGGACCCTGATCAGCGCATTCACCTGAAAAACCTGTCTCTTCACCAGGCAACAACCGAGGAGGAAGCTTTGAACTTGCTCTTCTTGGGAGACACCAACAGGATGATTGCGGAGGTAATAGCATCTCTCCTCAAATGACTTTTCCAAAATTAGGAGTCATACTAGACTCTGGAGGCTGCAAAGGCCTTCAGAATGATCTTGTTCAAATCTCATGTTGCAAACTAGCAAACCTGAATCCGCAGAAATGAGCTTTTCCCTGGTCACCTGGTGAGGTGGTCAGCTTTAATTGTCAACTTGACACAACCTAGACTCACTTGGGAAAAGAGTCCCAGTGAGCATTGGCCCGTGGCTCCAGTGTGTGACCCAGCCCACCATGGGTGGCCCCGTTCCCTAGGCTGAGCACAAGCAAGCAGAGCGTGTGTGTGGTTGTTTCTCTTTGCTCTTGACTTTGAGTGTGACTTCCCCACAGTGATGGATGTGACCTGTGATTGTGGGAAAAGCAAACCCTTCCTGCCTAGTTGCTCTTTGTCAGGATCCCCCCACCCCCTTCTACTCTTGAAGTGCCAGTTCTTAATTCAGATAGGAAGCTGGAACATGCACTACATTTGAAGATTTCTTTTTTTGCCGTAACGTTGTGGACATTCCCTCCCTCCCACAGAACAGCAATCTGTTCAAGGCCAAGGGAGCCAGGGCAGACACCTAGACCTTGTTGTCCCAGGCCACTGCTCTCTACTTTGCCACATGGTCTGTCTTTTCACTTTTCTACTTTTAAATTTAATACAGATTATTTTGCTTCTAATCAGTGACAACTCATAAAACATCTTAATTATAAAATGCATAGTTTTTGAAATTGAAAACCATAAGGTACAGTTCAATCTTCTTGCTCTCAGATTGTCGGTCTGGTGACATGTGTTTATGTCCCTGCGTGTTTTCATTTAGTTTGTGAGTTAATATTTGTAAAACACTCAGAAAAGCCACGGAACACAGAAGTTGTATGTCATATGTCCCAAGGCCATGTTTCAGACACGCTTATACTCAAAGGCATCCTTTGGTTATCAATTTAATCAGGTTTCTTTGTTTGTCTGAGACTTCTAGACAGCAGCCAGGATTGACCCAAACCTTAACCAGTTCCTGTCCAGGGTTGGAGGATCATGAGACTCCATTCAGTGACACCTCACTGAAAGGAAATAAATGGTGACGATGGTGGTGGTGCAGTTGGCCACCTGGGGGCAAGTCTCTTATGGGTACTTACAGCTGTCATAGTGGCTTTCTTCTTCATTTTTATAAAAGAATATTGTATATGTATGGCTCTTTTGCCCATATGAATGTCTGTGCACCTTATACATACCTGATGCCCAGAGAAGCCAGATTCCCTGGAACTGGAGTTACAGATGGTTGCGAGCTGTCCTGTAGGTGCTGGAAGTCAAACCTGGACCCTCTAGAGAAGCAGCCAATGCTCTTAACCTCTGAGCCATCTCTCCAGCCCTGGGACTTTCTTTTAAATCATTCTTTCAGACTTCCATGGTTCATATTATTGCTGATGGCAAGCAGAAGATGGGAAGCACATAGTCATAGAAAGTCGCCGCTAAATGGTGTGTTTTCGGTTGGATGTCCTACCCTGAGAATGCACTCTCCTTAGACCTAAAAGTAATAAACCCAGACTCAGACCCTGAAAGCATGCTGTTGACATCTTATTACCATTAGTAATGGGCACATCGTTTTGTTGACATTTTTCTACTAATTTTCCATGTGTGTTTATGTGCTGTGCATGTGTATATGTTGACATGTGTATCTGCACACGCAGGTAGAGGCTAGAGGTTCATCATAGGTCTTTTCCTCGATCATTCTTCTGCCTTATGTATTGAGGTAGGAGCTCTCACCTGAAGCCAGAGCTCACCAATTTGTCCAGTTTGGATAACTAGCTTGGTTCAGAGGTCCCTTCTGAGTGCTCCGAGTATAGGCAGGCTGTCCCTACCTGCCCAACATTTTTGTGGGTATTGGGGATCTGAATTCTGCCCCTCACACTTGTGAGACAAGCACTTTACACATTGTCTTAGTTCCTTTTCTATTGGAATGGCAAAACACCAATGCAACTTATAAAAGAAAGCTTTTCATTTTGGACTCATGGTTTCTGAGGGTTAGAACCCATGACCATCATGGTGGGGCATGGTACCAGGCATGGCACTGCAGCAGTTAGCTGAGAGCTCACATCTTGAGACCGCAATCATGAGGCATGGAGAGAGAGACTTAACTGGGAATGACATTAGCTCTTTAAACCCCTGAGCCCAACCCTAGGGACAAATCTCTAACAAGGCCACATCTCCGAATCTTTGACAAACAGTTCCACCAACTGGTGACTAAGCATTCAAATCTATGAGCCATTTTCATCCAAACAAACACATGCTCTGAGCCATCTCTCCAGCCAGTTGTTTACAACTGGGTTGTTTTAAATACACTGACCACCTTACGTGGCCTGATTATGCCGCATGCATGTAAGGACTCTCCTTCATTGGAAGGAAGTTCACATGGGCTTTCATCTCATGTCTCATTCTGGTTTCTGTGTTTTCCCCATGAGGTCATCTGGAATACTCTTATTGTTTCCAGTAGCTGAAGGTTATGGACTAAAGACAGATTAAAAATGAGCGCACATAAATGAGGAAAGTCTAAGGAGGAATCTGACTGTCTCTGTGCCAGGAGATGCAGAATGCAGAAGGGTTTATGGGAAGGAGAAGCACTTTTGAATGCTGTGTTGAGACAAGCAAGCAAGCCCAGCACTGATGCCAGCCTTCCTCAAGGGTGACTCTTTGCTTGTGGCATTGCCCTGTCTTCAGTGGGTTTTGAGAAAGTACTAACTCTCTTTCACCACATCCTCTGGGAGTTTGAGTGTTTGGCCATTTGTTACTTCTGAGTTTGCATGATTAGTAGATAAATCCCCATCAGACAATAGGACAGACTTGTGAGTCTGTGAGGTGGAAAACCTGGCAGGTACATTTCACAAAGGGCATTCCTTGAGACTTTTCAAAATGGTTTAAAATTCTGTAGAGTCAGCTAAAACTCGTGTGTGTGTGTGTGTCTGTATATATGTGTGTATGTATGGTGTGTGTGTATAATGTATATATGGTATTGTGTGTTTAAATAGTGTCTGTGTATGTATGGTGTGTATGGTATGGTGTGGTGTGGTGTGGAATAGTATTGTGTGTATGTATGTATGGTGTGTATGTATAATGTATAAATGGTATGTGTGTGTTTATATAGTGTCTGTGTATGTATAGTGTGTATGTATGTTATGTATGGTATGGTATGGTATGGTATTGTGTGTGTGTGTGTGTGTGTGTGTGCGCGTGTGTGCTGAAGCCCAAAGCTGATACCAAGAGCATCCCTCAATCACTCTCCACTTTATTTACTACAGCAGTATTCCTTACTAGACCCCTGCTCATCAGTTTCCCCTCCAATTCTGCTGTTCATACATTAATATGTGTTCCATGTGCTCAGTTTTCTTGTGTTTGCCTTTCTTTCTGCCCTTTGGTAAAATCAATGGTCATAGTCATGTCCTTCAGTAGACTTGTCATGCAAAGGAGACACTTTGCACACATTTTTAAAAACTACATTACTTATTCACTTATTCATTTATGTGTGTGTGTGTACATGTACATGCACATGCCAAAGCACACATGTGTGCCAGAGGACACCATCAGGTCTTTGGTGTTGGCAGCAACTTCCTGTACCCACTGAGTCATCTCCCTTGCCCTCCATGCATTATTTCCAGCTCTTAATTTCCTGAGAGAAGCAGGGCTTGAAGGAGTTCCGCGCCTTGCGGAAGCTCACACAGCTTAGTGTGTGGCAGTGAGACTCTGCCCTCGTCCCCTGGTTCAGAAGCTTATGTCCCTTCACATCATGCCATCACATCGACATCTGTCAGCTATTTCAAGTATGGATGCACTTCTGGGTTATCTGAAAAGTATTCCAAATATTTAGCATTTTTGTTTATCTCTTGAATTCATTGAAAGCGACCACTTACACATAAAACTGTAAATGAAGACTGTCGGCTCCTGAAAATTCCTTATTATTCAGTCTGTCAAGTCTGTCATGGATCACAGGCTAGCTGTCGGAATGTAATCTGTCAGCACAGAACGAGCTTCTTATGATAAAAAGAACACACTAATCATTTCTTTTAAAAAATTCCCAGTTTCCTTTTACACAGGCATCTTTAGGAGTTGCCATGGGAACTAGAAAACGTTTGCTAAACAAGCCTGATATGTAGGGTACAAGGTGGACTGTGCTTTCCTTTCGTGGCCAGCCTCTTCCAGAGAAGTCAGTGAAACTACTGCATGTTTATCCAGAAGCCTTAACTTCTGCAATCCTACCACTGCTTTGAACAATGCTTGATTGTGTCCTGAGGGCAATTTTTTTTCCAGTTGAGTGGCTGAGCCAATGAGTGTGAATATTGTAAAAACTGAACTGCGAGTGCCCCTGCCCCAGGCCCCCCATAACTGGTGTGACTTGATATAGCTCTAGTCTCTTACTTGAGTTGTTCCTGTCAGTCAAATGTGACTGAAGGAGGCATGCTGTACATGCTTGTCAGCCCATCCACTTTCCTCTGCGTCCCCTGGTGTGTTCCCGAACCAGCCTGACCTCTAGCATTCTACCCACACAAGGTGGAGTGCCAGCCTGGACCAGAACATCCCAGAGGACTTACAGGCTACAGTTTCAGGCTTGTTGGACTTGAACTTCACTAAGGTGAGCAATGTGGACTGACTAAGGAGGTCAGGCAAGTTACGTGAGACAATGTGATTGCTAATCTTGGTTGCCAGCCTGACTGTAACTGGAAGGAACTTTAATCCAGAAATGGAGGGCACACTTGTGATCTGGATCTTGGGGCAAGAGGACACAGGCCTTTAATCCAGACCTGGAGGTTGGAAGGTATTCCTTTAATCCGGGCCATGCCTTCTGCTGGCACAGAATGGAAGAAGGGAGGGCTTGTCCTTCACCCACTTGCCCTCACCTTGCCAGCACATCCATTGCTTCACTGCATTGGAGCCCACTCCATTGAGATTCCAGCATACACAGAACACCAGCTGAGACACCCAGCGTCGTGGGACGAAGCAACTACTTGA